TCCTCCGACCACAATACAACTTCATATTCTCACTTTGCTTGGCTGTAAAAACCTGACACATTCTCAGTATGCCCCCGAGGTCCCATTCCACACCACAGAGCAAACGCATTGCAACTGTGCAGGCTCACTCTGCCAACACTTTACCTTCTCAAACATTTCTTCAAGCTGCTCATCACAAGATTACTGTCCCAGCTGACCTCCAGGCCTCACAGTGAAGCTTTCCAACACCCCAGGGAAGGCAGAGGACTGTTAGGACACCCAACATGCAGGCAGGGAACTTGAGACCCACACAGGTTAAATAACCCTCCAAGGGTCACACAAGTTTCTGATGGAGCCAGGAACTGAAACCATATCTTCTCAATCACAGTCTGGTTTCTTTAACCACAAGGCCATCTCTGAAAAGGCTTGATGATAAGAAGGGCCTGTGGCATAAAAACTCCATTTCAGAGGGAGCTCCCAGCACCAGTCTTGCTAAAATCCCTTCCCCAGGAGGAGGAATTCACTCCTTGTGTGGACCATGGCATCACTCTCTGGCAGCCTGGCTGAGCCACATAGCAACTGATCACACAGAGTTCTGTGCCTCTGCTACTGTCCTCTATTCATTTACAGAGAAGGAAAGACTCTGCTTCCTTCAATACCTATGTGGTGGTGATCCTTTACCCATCTACATCCCCCTCTCCTCAACATCCTGGGACATAAGAGACAGTTTAGCTTGTTTCTGGTATAAACCATACTACAATGAGAGGTACCTCCTGAAATTATAGCAGCTACAATGTATTACTGACACAAAATGGAGAGGACCACTCCTGATTTTCCCCAAAAAAATATAAAAGTTCAGTTTGAACAGGATCTTGAGAAGACGTGAAAATAATCTTACTGCTTCGAAGGCAGCACCAACTCTCTCTATAGCACTCTTGATAGATACTCGTTTAACCTGCTCCTAAAAGCCTTCAGCAACAGAGATTTCACCAAGCACTTGGGCAAAAAATCTCAGTGGGTACCTAACCATACCACTAGTGAGCCTTTCTGCCATCCAACCACAATGCCCCTCGCAGCAAGCCAAGCCAGTGCCTTTTCACTCCGTTCATGATGGCCACAAAGAAAGCAGACAGGCTCGGGTGGGCCAGCTGTAAGGACAGATCGGGAGATGCCCCCTTGGCAGGCTGGTGAGCCCCACACACCGGTGAGGTGCCAGTCCCCACGCTGGATGATGTGCAGTGAGTGTGCCAGCCCAGTGGGGGTCAGTGATGCTCTACAATGTTTAAGGTCCCAGACACCTTTTTTTGCAGCATGCTTTGCCTTTTTTTTTTCTTTTTTTTATTTCTTTTCCTCCTGTTGTTGTTGTTACATTGTGTCAACTTTTTGGCACGTGTTTTACCATGTGCGAACGGCTTGAAATAGAGCCCCGCTTACATCTGGAGACGAAAAATAAAAAAAACAAAAAAGAGGGTGAGAAAAAGAGTGGGAGAGAGGAAACATTCCTCCCTTTGCTAATCGATCAAGGAAATGCAAGGCAGAGAGTAAAATGTACTCTATTTCCTTTAGAAATGTTTCCTTTAATGCCGATGAAAGCTGCCAGATGACAGAGGCTGGGGCTGCTCGGCAGCAGGGAAGGCGCTGTCAGCGCGGCACGGGGGCGTCCCGGCAGCCGCAGCAATTCCCCCTCCAGCCGCCGTCTCTCCCGGGCTCCCAGCACGGCAAACACGGCTCCTGCTCCGCGCCGGGCACTCCCTGCTTCCCCTCCCCACGGCTCCCAGCCTGGCCGGAGCCGGGCATGGGTATGGTAAAGAAGTAGCTTTACGTCGTAAGTGGAGAGTTGGATTGAAAGAAGTAGCATTTTGTAATTATTCATTTTAATTAAAGACGTGTTTGTGTTTGGGGGCAAGACTTTCAGAGCACTAATTTGTACAAAATAATAATAAAAAAAAAAATCAATCCAGCCAACAAATGCTTAACTAAGGAGTGCAATTAATTTCATTTGGTAAAAAAATTAAAAAATTTTAAAAATGCATACTTTCATAGAAGTCCCCCGCATTCCTGTGCCATTACTCCTCTCTGATTGCATGTAGTAAGTTCAAAAAGCAAGACACATAAAAACCTCTTTTTAAAAAGAAAATAAATATCAGGCAAAAATTATAAAGGCTGTAAGAAAGTGGGCCTTTTCCATGTTTTCAAAAGCTGAGAAACCTCTTATTTTATTCTACTTTCATAGGAAAACTACGACTTTCTAAACCAAAAATTACTCTTTTCCTTGGAACACATCACTAATGTTGAAATCTTATTTTTTAGTGAGATGCTACCAGTATGTGGCATCCAGGGAACAACCTCAGCAGCTCTCTACTAAAGCCCTGGCGAAGGTGAGGCTACCAGCCAAGTCCTGGTGGGGCTGTCAGGAAAGCACTCTCTGGGCTATTTACCCCAAAGCTGATTCTGTGGGGGTTTACCCCTCCTAGGAAGGGGAAAACAAAGCAAAGGGGAACAGTTGCTGGCTGAGCTGTAGATCAGACAAATTTTGGCAGTTTTGGTGATCCCAACAGCAACAACCACTGAGCCACTCCCTTTGCACTTGTGCTTGCAAAGCCATATTGCATGATAAACCCTGGACTGAAACCACCAAATACATTATGACACACAAGGTGAGCCAACCATGCTTGTATGAATCTCCTGCAGGGAAAGGAAGGCAGGATACCAGGCAGTAATCACTCCTCCTCCCACCTTCATCAGGGGCCACTGGCAGGGGGCCATTTCCTGAGCTATCCCCTGGCCCACTGGGCTCATGCTGTAATGCTGCACCAAATTTCAGGATCCTCTTTTGGAAAGCCACAAAACAATACCCTGTCATTACAGGGGGTGCCAGAGGCAGCAGTCTGGGGCAGCAGCTACGTGGGGCAGCTCTGCCCAGCCAGTCTGGGTCCTTTGGCAGGTGTCACTCTCAGCGTGCTGTCCCAGCCTGCTCCCTCGCTGGCTCAGACCAGCCTTGCTGCTGGAGCAGTGGAGGGTGATTTCACGGGCTGCTGCACCTGACCCTGTCCCTAAGCGACTGATGTAACACAGAGCAGAGCTGGAGGCCACACGAGCTGCTCTCCTCAGAGGCTTGGTGCTCACTGTGCAATGCTTCCTGCAGCTTGTCCCAGCCATTCCCCCAGCTGGGGAGAACCACTGACTGGCTGTCCACAGGCTCGTGCTGCTGCTCAGCGCAAGCACACCTTAAACACAGATCAAATTCTCCTGAGCTCTCAGCTTTCTTACAGTGCAGAACCGAGAGTGCAGTCAGAAGGGACCAGCTAAGACTCACACTGATACAGACAGCAGCCTTTATGTCTATGTCAAAAAATGAGTTGTCTTTTACCACATTCCCAAAGGACTGTGATTGGGTTTGCCATTTCCATCATACAAGCAAGCTCAAGGAGCCCAAGCAATGGGGCACAGCTCTGTGATGTTAGGTGCAGGACAAACACAGAGCAAACAATGTCCCCTGTCCCAAAGACTTTCATCTCCAAGTGCGTCCATGTTGTACAAGGGCACTCCAAACCACTTCTGTCCCCATGCCCAGCCAATCCATTTCGTAAGCCCAGGATAGGCACCATCAGCGTGTTAAGCAGACTCAAGCCCAGCCAAAAATCACATCCATGGCTGGGCATGAATGACTCAATTAACTCTTCCACAGCCTGACTGTGCTCCAGCTGGTATTCCACAGCTTGTCTCTAACTCGTGGCATCACTGGGAAGGTGGTGGCATGAATTGATATTTACCAAAGGCTCTGTTCAGTCGTGAAGATGAAATTGCCTGAGTAATGGCAAGGTTTTGAGTCAAGAGATGCTTCCTGTGCCAATGGCTCTGGCCTACCAGCCTGGAATGCCTCCTGCATGCTTGCCTGAGGAAAAACATCTGACAAAATCCGAAACACAGGGAGGGAACCTATCTCCCCACTGCCAAAAGTGAAAAAAAAAAAAAAAAGAAGTGAAGAAAGACTGTATCTGACAAAGAGTAGTGTCCTGAACAAATGGCAGCTCTCATAGGCCCAATAACGTCAAGGCCTGAGGTTTTCAAAGGTGCCTGGCTGCATTAGAAGATGTCACACCAAATTTCAACCAGCACCTCATTTATTTCAGGTCTTTTGAAAACCCTGCCTTTCACAATTCGGCACCAGCCCAAAGCTTCCTTGCTGTTTTGAAACATGTGCTGTCTGTGTGTTGACAGCAGCCCTGCCATAAATCACATCCCTCAGGCACTGGAAACCACCTCACCTGTATGCTGAGCATCCACTGTTCCTTGCAATGAATTCCATCATTCCAAATTTCTCAGTAGCTGGAATCAAGTAATGCTGGTTTGGTTTTTTTTGGTTTTTTTTTTTTGGTTTTTTTCATTAAAGCAACCTACTAGACAGAGGTTTCCTTCTTCACCCCAAAATCTGAGACCTTTCCAGCCAGGTACAAGGTCCAATATTTGTTTACTCTCTTGGACAAGTAACAGGAACTTTACAACCTGGGATGGAGAAGCACTCTTGTTCTGCAGGGGACATTCAATATTTGTTCCTATTCAGAATGACCACACATGTCATAATCTTAAAATGTGACATTGGTATTGAAAGCAAAAGTCCTTTTAAAATGTCATTTGATGTTGGTGACACCGTATTTATTAGATTGATATAATTAAGCAGTAACTATAATTCTGCTCCTCCTTTGGGTCATGGGACCTGCTTTTACTGGCCAGGGTAGATGTAAAGTAATACTGAAAACTCTCTAATTTGAGAATAACCTCCTAGTGGCACATGCTTCAACTGGAGTCCATGATGGAGCACTCATATCAAGTATCCACAGATCATTATGCTCACCTGATTGCCACATTCTCAGAGCTTCATACCTAAGGATATCAATGTTTTCTTGCTTGGCCTCCACTACAAGTGAATTAGTGCAAAATATGAGATACATATTTATAACAATTATTATTTTATTTAAAGAAAGTATGTGGAAATCCATCTGCACAATTGCATGTGTCACTCTCACACATCCTACAGCTTTTGATTCAAAATTAGCAAGGCTTAAAAAATAATAAGTTAAAAAAACCTCACACTATAAAACCAAGCTCTTTAGTGGCATTAAGTCTGATCTGTTTGAGGTGGTGGTTTTGACTCTAGGGCCTGTTGACTAACAGCAGGAGACACAAGAATTGTGGGTACTGATCTATTTATCATGATTAAAGACTGTTGTGACATTTCACCTTTAGCTCTCTATGAGGAGGCTCTGATGCTGACCGGCATCTACAAAGGCGTGCTCAAAGCGCTATTCATCACTCATCACTCATCTTAGTACTACTAAGATGGAAGAGTCTTCCTGAATTGGCTTCCATGCTAAGGGCTTCCATGCTAAGGGCACCAATCCCTGTCTCCTGAATTATTCACACAATTCATGACCTGAAAATTTTGTGCCAATGGAAACTGAAACCGCAAAAACTTTTCCTCCTCCCTCCCACTGCTGAACCAATCGGAAAGGACTGATTCAATATCCAACGCTCATCATGACTTCTGCCAGCCCAATGTCCTTGAGCAGGCATTAGAAAAGGCCATCATCATCAGGGATTGTAAGTGTTTGCCAAAAACTTGGTGTTGGAAAATGTCCTGAACATGCTGTACCAGTGACGGCAACTCTGTATGAGCAAAGCTGGCAAATCGCTGTGCTCTGAAGTTTCAGGGTGCTCTTCACTGGTTTCCTACATTCATGGGAGTTCACTGTGAAAACAGTAAGGGTATCTAATCCTCATTAAGCTCTTTGGTGTGACAGTAAGGAAAAATGATGGACTTGTTTACATGTGATAATGGAATAATTTGAAATCCACTAGACCTCCAAATTTAGATATGATGTAAATGTAGGGACAGTTTATACCAAGCGTGATTTTAGCTGATGTAACCTTAGTCAACATCTTTTGAATTTATATGACCAAGACCAGAAAGCCAACAATTGTCTTAGTCAGTTGGTTTCCACTTTCACATAAAATGATACAGCTTTATTATGTTGACAAAGTCAGATGTGATGGGTAGGTCAGAGAAGCTATTATTCGCAGCACAGCACAGGAAAAAGTGTGGGAGACTTTTGTCCCAGTGGAAAGCTACAACTTACAAAAGTATTCAAAACAGAACCCTTTGGGACTTCAAACATTTCAGAAACTGCTTTCATTGTTTTCCATTGTTCTAAGCATCCCTGCACAGATGAGGACCTACAAAACAAAATGCCTTATGTAGCTTGTGAGAAGTCTACAACCATGCTCTAGACCAGATGACTCCAGAAGAGTTTGAGATAAGCTTCAGATCCACATCCAAACATTAGAAAACCTACAAAAAAGTCTGAGTTCCAGTATTGCTTCATGAGAAAGCCAAAGGAACCTCACCATAGCAAAAAAGAGAGAGATTGTCATTTTGGAAATCACAGACTAAAGTCTTATGATGCTCCTTTTCATGCAAATGAGCCCTGTCTGAGGTATTAAGGGTCATGCAATATTCCCAGTTAAGACTGACACAAAATTAGTAGATTGCCATGGGGAAGCAATATTAATATCTCATTTTACAGTCTTATTTGTGCTGTATAGTCTTCTGTTCTCCCCTCTCCCCAGAGCACAAGAATGAAGCTACTGCACACACTGATGTCCTAAGAGTTTAGGCAGTATTTATTCAGCCAGACTGATTTTACTCTAGCCAAGCTGGTATCAGTTGCAGCGTCCTACAGTCAGCCTATTGAGATGCGAGCCACTATGTGATATGAGCCACAATTAGACCATGCTCCAGAACATCATCCTGTGAAACGTTTGTTCTTCTGAACAAATTGTTCTGCAATTTCCCTAGGCCAGAACAGCTCTTGTAATCAGACATTTGGTGGATGCACACCATTCCTACTTGCTATCTAACAGCTGTTACTTATAGTACCAGGACTTCTGTCATTTACATGGGATTTAAGGCCACAGGTCAGCCACCTTATCTTCCCTGAAAGTTGTGCCTCAAAGGGCAATAGGCAGCAAGACTCTGTGTGCACACCTTGCAACTGTACAAAGCAGAAGGAAGCAGAGTCTGTAGACTTGAAACAGCTTAGTTATTGCTCCTCACCCAATGTCCTGCTGTAATCAGAGCAAAGAAATAAAGAAAACCCACTGAGATCCCAAGACTAATTGGCTTTCTGTGAAGTATTGTTTTTGTTTAAAAGACTAAGCCACACTTGGATCAATGGGCCTTACAAACAAAAACCCTTTTACTCGTGACCAGGCATGACCAGAGCTGGTTCAGGGCACAGATCTCCAACCCCAGAGCAGCAATGTCCCTCTGGCCTAAGTTTGGAGGTGGCCTTTTTTCCAAAGTCTGTCTCTGACTCTCCTGCTGAAGCTCCTAAAACTTGTATTATCAGTGTGGTTTTTTTGCCTAAGCCCTCAAGAAAGCATGTGACTCTTCCCTGTGTGAGTGAACAGAGCAGCTTCTATTCCTCACTCAGTTTAGAGACAGCAGGGCAGAAAGAGACTGAAAGAGTTCAAATGACAAGCTTTCACTAGGAGCTGGCCATGTAACTGACACAGACCTTGTGGCTCTCCTCAGCTGCCTTTCTGACAGAGGGATGCCATGGAGATGGCAATGCACCAGCTGTGCACATCTGCAGTGCACATTCTCCACTTCCTTCACCTTCTGAATTCTGCCTGTGAAGAAACAACAGAAATAAATCTGACCATGGGCAACCTCCATTTTTCACTCCCCTCCCGTTTTTGTTGCCGTGCATGGAAATTGAGTAAACATAGAATAAGAGGTTATAGTGGTCTTAGCATCAATAGTGGCTTAATGGAGCTACACAAGCACAGCACACTGAAGCCTGTGCTTTGCCATTTTATCTTTAGAAGAAGGCAATGGTACAGATAAAAGATGGAGTATTTTAAAATGTCCCACCCAAACATCCACTGTTATTGTAGCCATACCTTCTCCAGTCCTGCCCTTCTACCTTACCTTCCTCCCTCCTCTAAACAACACACATCAGATTTGCCAGTGTTGGAGAGAGTCACACTTCACATGACCCATGTAGGCATCAAAAACTGGATCAGTTGATGTGAGATGTCAAGATGGAGAATGGGAAAGAAAGGAACGCCGTTAGAATCATTCTCCAGGTAGTATATCCTGCCCTATATATACGTGTACACACTCACATATTTATTCTTGCATTTTAGGATTCTCATTAATTTCAGCCACGGGACAGAAATGAGAAGCAGCTGCGCAGCTCGTGGAGATGACAACAAGAACACATGACCAGAATTAGCTCCACGTTGGCAGTGACGTTCGCTAGGACTTTCCTGACCAGAAGAGCTGGCTTCATGTGACAGTCTTCTGCACAGCATAAAGGTCCCACATTAGAGTCCTTTTTAAATGTCTCCCTCCAGCTCAGCCAGACACAATTTCTTAGCTCATGTGATCACAAACCCTGCACTAAAAAGAGTAGAAAGTCAATATTGTCATGTCCCAGACATTCATCAACACAAGTGAAAATTCAAGGTAAAAGGCTTCAGGCTTTCTGCAGTTTTTTTGACAGTCACATGCTGAATTCACTTGTCTTTCATAGCAAGCACATAGTGAGGAAATAGAGACATTTAAAAAGCTGGGTTTTTTTCCAAGTGTAATTTTAAATGACAACAAAAGCAACTAAAACCCCTACAAAAAGTATCCTTTCTTTCAACCTGCACTCACAAAGAAAACAGCACATCACCTGCCCAGCCTGCCCCTGACAGTACAGACAGAATCAGAACATGTACTGAGCAGACAGTAAGTTATTAACCTCTCAAGATATTGTCTGGAACCAGAATTTGTTGAGGAAATTGTAGATTAAAGTTCAACACTGATGCTAACTGAACACAGCCTGATTCACAGCTTTAAACAAACAACTTAGCATGGCTGGGACAGTGATTTGGAAGAAACAACAAAACAAAATAATTCACATCCCACATCCAGCTGTCTGTCCTTAGCAGTGGACAGTGCCTTAGGCTGTGGAAGATGGTTGTACCCATATCTCTAAACTCTCAACAAAGGGGTCTACTATTGCCACGGTGTTTTACTGAACCACTTGTGTTCAATGGGGAGATGCATTTGTCAACTGTCAGAACTCATGTCACTACCTGTGCTGTCCCCTTTTGACCCTGGTGCAGTGAACATAGTTTTTCAGAGGTTTGGCTCTTAGCTCACACTTACAGAAGTACTTATTTCTACATCTCTGTGTATGTCTTGGCAGGCACACAAGGAAAAGAAAAAGCAAATGAGCAAGTTCCTAAATGAAAGCTGGTATGACAAGGTATGAGATGTAGTCTCCCACCTCCACTTTGCACCCACAGTGATCTTATGGCTATTGACACTGTCTGTCTCCCTCAATGGGGCTGGCTTACACACGACCATGGGACAGGCACGGTGCTTTGCCACTCTCTCCTGCTCAGCTGACACAATCTGTGCTGGCACAGTACAGGCAGGGGACATCTCAACTGCAGGTTTCACAAATCAAAACAGGTTTACTCTTGGCTGCTTGTAGCATCCCAAATGTCTGCCAGGGCTGGCTTCTCGTGATCTGCCTGCCAGTTTGAGATGACAGTCTCCTGACCCTTTAGCAGCAGTTGTGACCTTGGCTTGTAGCCAGAGACATGAAAACATGTGTTCTTGACGTGACATGATGAACAGCAAGGTGCATTTGGAAGCATGAAAACAGTGCAGCTTACTAAAACCAGCAGGAAAGTTTGGCTACTTTTGATTCTTTTCATTGTTTTAATCTTGCCCTACCTCTCTGCACCACTGAGAATCACTCTGTATTGATTATGCTGACACTGACAGCAGAGTTGGAATTTTTTTTTTTGCATCTCAGATGAGAAAGTGGGTTATGATTCATCTCACTGAATCTGAGTCAAAGCAATTCCTTATAAAAAACCAAACAGTTTTGATGCATTTCCATCAGAAGAGAAGAGGCTGGAGAACACTCAGCAAATGAGACAGTCCTGTTTAATTCTTCTTTTTAGCACATTTCACTCTCAGATAAAATCTGTCCTTTTCCCCCACTAGAAATAACTCATTTGAGTTAATGACACTAAAATACCCCCAAAAGCTACTAGCAAAAGACAAACCACCCTATCTAAAAAAGACAGCAGGAGACAAATGCCACCAAAAGAAGAAATAACAAATGCCACACTGTGTTCCACTTCCATGGAACAGTGATTGCTAGAGTGGAAAGTAACAGATTACTATGGTGAATTATCAATTTTCCTAATAGCCTTGAACTACCTAAATGCTGAAGTGTGCTAACATTAGTGGGTACATTACATTAACAGCAGTTAAAATCATCAAGTGTGATCCTGGAGCACATTTTCCCCCTTTTCTTGTTTTCATAGCCTTGTTACTAACCCTGGAAAATAGGGCTTCTGCTCTGCATGCTGGGAAGAGCCTTCAGACTGGTTGTCATTTCTTATCAGACATGACTCACAAGTCCATTTTGGTTGCTTTTCACATAAAATAAAGAGTGTGGCCACAGTTTTGTGTAAGGCATGGAACTTGAATTCTAGGCTCAATTCCCACTTCGCTACTGGATCTCAGCATGACTCTGGGCGAGTCATCTTAACTCTTCCAGTCAGCCCCTCATTTGTAAATTAGGGACAGTAATTTCCTGGTCCTTGACATATTTTCAGTTTCAGAACTCTGAGGGATGCACCGTGTTCCTACTCCATGTTTAATTTGCACATATTACAGTGTGACCACAGCCTTGGATACCACTGCAGCACAATGAGCCATAGTGGAACATGAGAGCAAACTGCAAATTTAGTCCACAGAGCTTCAAAGAACAGGTGAGCTGGTTTCAGTTTTAAAAGCAAAGAAAGGGTTCCTTTCTGTCAGGTCATGTAGACAACTAACTCAAAACAAAGAAATTAAACTGTTTTCATGTAAATGGGACAAAGATTTATCCAAGAGTGCATTGCTAGAAGGGTTTCTAACTCCAGCTCCAAAACTGAATGCCTGTACCTCACTTGACAACTTAGCTACAAGTCATGACAAAAGAATGTCTTGAGGCTTTAAACACTCCAAAGCCCTATCTGAGGTGAAAATTATTCCCATAATATTACAGTCCAGAAAAACATTCTTACTCATTCATAGGCACACGCATACACACACCCTCTCCCAAAATACCTGTTTTGAGAATTTAGAGTTTATAATAGCCCAGATGGCGGAAACTCCTTGTAGCAGCCATTTCCATAAAACAGGAGAGCCAACCTTCTCCATCCTGTATGTCCTAGACTAACAGTCCATCTTCAGCTCCTGGCCTCAGCAAGGAGATCCCCAGCCGGGGGTCCTCCAGATGCCAGAGTCTGTGGTTTTAATCAGGTGATGACATCCCCACAGAGAAGCCCGAGACCAGCCAGCTCATTTCATGTGGAGCAGGAAACAGCCAGCAGGTAGGTCCCCTTTTTGCTTCTTAATGATCTGAACTAGTTACAGACTAATGAACTGCAATTGAAGACTTGATGGCTCACTACCAAATCTTCAGCCCTTTCAGTCCACAGAGAGTTTACTTGACTTTGTAAGTTCATAATGAATAAACTGGATTGTCTTTGAATTGTTTGTCAAATTAAGGTAGAAAGATTTGGTTTGTTTCTGTGTAGGACTGTTAAATACGGGGGGTTGGCTAACAGCCTCACTGTTGTTCAAAGGTTTTTTTTGAAAGATGAGCTTTCCTATCCATCTGTACAGGTCCTAGCACACTCAGGGCCCTCTCACAATGAAAGAAGTATCCATCACCCTCATGGATTTTTTTTTTTTATTTTTCATGGCTATGTTAATTTTTAAACATGCTGAAGAACCATGTAGAATACAGCTGTACTTTAGAAAGACACATCCCTGAATTTCATTATCACATTTCACTCCTCTCAGAAGACAGCAGGAAATTATCAGTTTTCATTTACTAACTTTCAGGACCAACCTATTTCATTCATGGCCTGAAACCCAACTCTTTTTCACAGCATACAGGTGATCATGGGAATCCCTTTGATTAAGCACTACAGCAGAATCCTGAACTTATTCTCCATTAAATAACCTCTGCATCAAAAATCAGTTCTGTTTAAAAGTAAGAATATGTCTATGTTGACTGCCAGCAATTCAAGCTAAATCAGGGAATTAAAAACACAGAAAAAAGTCATTCTGCTTACTACCTGTTCCAGCTGAGATTTTATGACCTACAGTAACAAAGGGTAATTGTGGTTTTGATGCAAGATTTAGATCCCATCTGTGAAGCAGCAGTGGTCTCCAAAGAGACTGTGCTTCAGAAACACTCATGATGCAAAGTCTTGACCACTCTTGTGTGGATAAGAAGAGGAAAACAGAAGGTAAGTCTCTTGTCCCTGGCCCAAGCGGGTACCAGGTCCTCAGGACACAGAGAAGTGCAACCTTCTCTGATTCCTGACTGCTACATCTGCTGGATCTTCACTTAAAAGATGTGCACTCAAGCCTTTATAAGGCTAAGATACCTGGCATAAAAAGATCTAGGTGCTTAGCTTCATAAAGCATGTTTCCCAGAATTAATACAGAGTAAGATGTGGATAGGATCAACGTCAGGAAGAATCAAACTTTTGTATCCATTTCCAGTCTTTCAAATGCTTGAGAAGCAACTTAGATCAGCTCACAGCCTCTTGCCTTTCTCATGGCTGGAGATAAGTGCATGTAGATTTGGTATATTTTGCTCTCTAACCACTCACTGGCCTACTCTTTTTCTCATCTTACTTTGGAATTGGGGGCTAAAATTCACCGTTTAGGCTTCATTGAGATTACCCTTATAAATTTACTCTACCTTGCTGTGCAAGGATGCCAGCAGGCAGAGGACTCTCTGAAAAGAAGCTAGACAAGGGTGGTAAATATTGACAGAAGTGAGACTGAAGAAACAGGCTCTGAAAGCCATTTACCAAGATAATTAAAGCCCCTGGGGAGCAGAGGGAGGGTGACTCCCCTTGCGGCAGGCCACAACAGGGCTGCTGGATGTTGATGGTGCTGCTCTGTGACCTCCCTGAGCAGAGGTTGCTCCCAGGCTTAGTAGCCTGTGTGCAAATGCTGGAATATGGCTTGAACATTAAAAAAAAAA